TTCTTGCCTTTGTAGTCCCCCCATTTTGTGTGTCCAATGTCCAAGTTGCCCATCCCTGTCTACCCTGTGTGTGGAGGGGGTAGGAATGATCCTCACTGTAAAGATTTGTTTCCTCTTTTGAGCTACTGCATCAGTAGGTGTAGGTCAAGTTCATCAAATTGTATCAGATTACTGTTTTTTTCCATTTTTTTTTCTTCTTCTAGTTGAGCTCTGATAATCCAGTCATTGAAACCAGGTCAAGTGGGTATTATCTGTATTCCATTATTTTATAATGGAGAACTTTGTAGTTTATCACTATACTATTACTGGGTTGAATGAAGTATCTGATTGTTCTTTGTAGCTAGACAAAATCTCATAACTGTTAAAGAGAAAAAGGAAATGTTAGGAATAATTCTTGACTTCCTAAAATATTGTTTTGTGTTTTAGAGCAAAGGTGAATTTTTTACTTGTGAATTGTGTGAAGGTTTGTAGAGAAAACCAGTGTTCCATTCAGTAATTAATACACATTGTGTTTCATGTCATTGATTGCAGTCCCCACATGTAACATCACTTACCCTACTTCCTCCCTGAGTTTCCTGTTTCCATTCCTCGTTTTCTAACCCACCTTTATGCTGTCCTTGGGTGAATACTAATCTCCTGAGCTCACAGGGCTGATTGCTCACTCTAAGGAGTGTGGGCCTTGTGGTGGTGGTGGTGTGCCACGGAGTCAGTTCCAACTCATAGTGACCCTGTACAGGGTTTCCGAGGCTGTAAATCTTCACAGGAGCAGAAAGCCTCATCTTTCTCCCACAGAACGACTGACCTGAGGTTAGCAGCCTAACTTATAACCACTATGCTAGCAGAGTTCCTTACAGACCTATTTGCCTGAATGCTGATGAGTTCAGGTCTAGGTTTGAAGGGTGATAAAAAGGGCCATAGTATCTGAGGTTCTGCCAGTCTTGATCAGACCAGCCAGCATGTTCTTTACTTAGGATTCTGAGTTTGGTTCTACATTTCTCTCCATCTCTATCCAGCCCCTTCTAATGTGATCCCTTTCCGAATAGTTGATATGATAGCCAGGTACTATCTAGTTCTTCTGGTCTCTGGGTCTCTGGGTCTCTGGGTCTCTGGGTTGTGGTCCATTGTTCAGTAGGACTAATGGTGTCCATTAGTCTTTGATTTTCTTCACTCTTTTTTCCTCTGGACAGGGAAAGACCAATAGTTGCATCTTAGATGGCTGCTCATATGGTTTTTGTTTGTTTGTTGAAAAATTTAACTCTTTATTCCCCACCTCAAGAAGAGCATTTGTTTCTCTTTTAAGACATGAAGTAACTCACTGCTTCCTTTGTCATGTGGCCAGAGCTGGATAGTCCCAACTACCATTACTGAACATTCTGATCAAAGCTTCTATAGATGAACCCTGATTAAAAGGGGGGAAATGGAGAACGTAATTTCAAATTCTCATGGACTCCAGTCTTTCTGGAGCCATGGATGCGAGCTCAAGCTCTGAAAGTGTTGCCCTGAGATAGTCTGTAAATCTTAAATCACATGTATCCCCTGAAGCCTTCTTGAAACAAACAACAGTCTAGCTTAACTAGTAAAGTAGGTCGGCCTGAAATAGTATGCTCTTGTGCTTTAAAGCTTTTATTGTGAGTTGAGTGATAGTTTACACGGCAGAACACTGGTTTTGCACTCAACCAATTGTATTTTGTTTCATTGCAATGATTACAATCCCCTCCCTGCACTATCAGTCAACAGTATTTGCCTCTTCTCCCTCTTTTTTTTCTGATGTACACAAAAACATGCAGGAACATATAATCATTAAAGCAATCAAAGGGCACGTTTGCAAGCCAGCCCCCTAGCCGCCAGCGCACAGCCTTTCTCTTTCCATGAGTCTAGAGTCCTCAGTTGCTCGAATTCTCCATGCCAACACCTCTGCCTCCGTTTGTAGTGTTGCTCCTTCTCTGGTTATGATCCCACATTCCGCTAATGCTCTTCCCTCTAGGTGTTCCTAAGATCTTCTGTTTCTGGAACATAAGATTAACTACTCCCC